CCCCCCCCCGTCTGAAAGTGATCTCCCTATGAAGGGAATTGAAGTAGTGCCTCGTGCACGGCTGCAGGCAGCACTCCGGAACGCCCCAGCCGGGCTCACCGCAGGCTTACACTTCTTTTCTGTTAAAGCAAGCGCAACAGCAGAGCAGCACAACGAACCCATCCACCTATTACCCGTTTCTATGTGCTTTACCTCGCCCTCGAAGAGCTGCAGGTAGATTTCGCCGCTGGGAACCACGCATACCGCCCCCCTCGGCCGCGCACCGCAGCAGCTGCCATTCATTCCCGCAGCATCACCGCGGCCTCCCGGCACGGCACGACGCGTCGCCCGTTGCCATAGCAACGCCAGGGGGCGTGGCCAACAGCCGCCTCGTTGCCATGGCAGCGCGGGACGCTCCCGCACATCCGGGTGGGAACGCGGAGCTCTAAAGAGCCCCGGGTGCAGCGAACGCCTCGAGCAACGAATTATTTAGAAACAGTGCTTCAGCAGGATAGGAAAAATAATCAGCAAACACACACGAGTAGCTGCAGGTTTTTTTTTTTTTTTTTTTAATTATTATTGACTTGGGAAGAGGTGACAGTGACACCCCCAGACCTCAATTCCAGGCTGGGACAGCTGCAGGCTGATGTGCTGGAATAGCCCCATTAAAGACTGCCACAAGAATCCCATCAACTGCCTTTAACTGCAGCTTACACGGCCAGGACACAAGTCCAGCTGCCTCCTGGGCCACTACAAGCCAGCTTTTTTCAAGTCCTCTGGCAGAACACGACCCTTCTTCCGGGCCTTGGCTTTCTTCTGCTCAATTTTCTCCTTCTTCTTCTTCTGAATGTTCTTGCGACGCTTCTCCTGCCGCTGCTGCATCCTTTCTACCACTTTTTCTGTTCTCTTCTCCCACTGCTTTTGGCGCTGTGCTTTCCGCTTCTCTTTGCGCTTCAGAGCCTCCTTCAGACGCTCCTCATCGTCATGGATCTTCACACCTTCTGCCTTATACAGAACGTTTGTCCATTTCATTTTCATCTCCAGATCCTGAGCTTTCTTCTGGTCCTTTTCCTTGAGCTCCTCCAGCTTATTCTTCCGAATCTCCAGCCTGCTCAGCAGCTGCTTGTAATTCCTACCTGTCAGAGGAGTGATTTTCCCCTTCACTCCTTTCCTCTTCTCTTTTTTCTTCTGGATCTTGTTCAGCTCATTCTCTTCATGCACTTTGATCCTGTTGAAGACAATCTCAGCTTTGCTCTCTTCCTTTTTGCTTTGTGGCTCTATAGGTACCTCCTCAGTTTCTTCCTTCACTGCTTTTGCCTTCATCTTCAACTCCTTTCTTTTGCGCTTCTTTCTCTCTTTTTCATACTTTCTTCGTCGCCTCTTCTCCAGGACTGAAGGAGGCAATTCTTTGGTATCGTCCTAAAAAGGGCAGATATGAATCAGGGGATAACATAAAGATAAATGCACTTCAAGCCTTTCACTCTCACCGAGAATCCTGTACTTAAACTCCCCTTGCAGATTTCCAGTGCCTTTTCTGCACTCCTCCAGCCCCTACCTTTCCACATGCATTTTTCTGGACCCCAGAAAATAAACAGGATTCCTTGTTATTCCTTAGGGAATGGAATTATCTCCAGCCCTAAACCTTGGAACATCACAGCTCCCAAGGCATGTGGTGACTTAGGGATAATTCACACCATACCCACACGCACAGCAGGGTACACAGGGTTTTCATACCCGCCCAGAAGCTTCTTTAATCTTCTCATGAAGTCTCTGACGCAAGAGATTTATTGCAGAAAAAGAAGTGGAACCACGTTCACTTTTGGCATCTGAAAATGAGAGGAAGAAAAGAAAAATACTTAAAATACAGCACTAGCTACACTGAGGAATTTTCTATAGCTATGGGAAAAGCTATGAGAGTTCTTTAGGTGTTAGAAAAGGATGAAACGAAATTCTAATGAACCCAAGAGCTTCTATTTTTGTTGGTTTCTTCAGAATTCTCCTTTTTCTATCCCCATCAGCATTCAACACTGCCAGCCCAGGGTGGCCTGTGATATGCCCTGTAGTTCCCAAACAAAAAGGGGGTAAACACCAATGGAAACAAAGATGCCAAATACATCTTTCCACTCAGCTTGTGAACAGGGTTTCCTTATTTATAATGAAAAGAGGACATAAGATGATATATATGCACCCATGAAATAAAACCCATTAAAAAAAAAAAAAACAAAAACAGCAATTCATATGAAGTGCTCACACTTCTAGAGAGCCCCCCAGCGGTCACACTGCATACTTATGTACATGGAATAAACTCAAGTGTTTTCAATTGAACTGGATTTCTTAAATGGTTTCCAAATGATAGGTATGTGAACCAGCTGAAACGTGGCCACCTCAGCTCACGTTAACCACAGACAATTCTGCTATTCTTACCTGTAACAGAATTCTCGTTTTTGTTCTGCTTAACACCCCCTGGAGGTGATTTGTTGGCCTGTGGGGCTGCTTTCTGTCCTGGAGCAAGTTTATTAGTCTTAGACACCTCTTGTTTAACTGCAGGAGAATCTGTCTTCTCAACTTGCTTCCTGGACTTCCTTCTCTTCTTTTTCTTGAGCTGCCTGCCAGCATCATCTGGCTGGCCTGACTTCGATACTAGGAGACAAAGGAAAAAATATACAAACCAGGACATTGCCCCCATCAATAACATCCAGGTACAGCAGAGTACTGAGGTACAACCACGCTGCATAACATCGTAGTGGCGCTTAAGAACCTTGAAGAGTTATCCAAGCAGAGCCAGACGTGCTCAGCCATTTTAGCAATAACCACATTCACTTGCGTGCCATCCTCACACGTGGAGGGATATTATCCACACACAGGATGGATAAGAACGCTAACTTCGAGCGAAGAAACCCCGTATCACAGGTTTTGCTTAAAACCAACACACACCACCACACACCAACACACACCATCACCCGGCGGAGGCAGACACGCCGCAGGCCCACGTTCCCACACAGGAGAGGGTCGCAGCCTTACCGAACTTCCTCTTCCGCGATTCCGGGGCGTTCTGCGCGCAGACCTTCCTCGCCAAGCCTTGCAGGTAGGCGTCCTGAGCGGCCAGGCTGGACATCGCCGCTACTCGCAGCGGGCGGCCCCGAGAGAAGCGCGGCGACGGAAGGAGCCCAACCGCCGCGCACAGCGCCGGAAGCAATCTGAGCGAGCCGGAAGTAAGTTAACGCTTTGCCGGAAGTGACGTCATATCTGCGCGACGAGGCGCGAAAGCCTCAGCGCAGGGCCGCCATTTTGCTTCTGCCGTCCCGCTGCCTGCGGAAGGCCGCCCACCCCGGCTCCCCCGTCTGCCTGTAGGCTTGGGGAGCCGCAGCCCTCAGTTTGGGGTGGCAGGGCAGGACTCGGCCGGACCGGTTCTGCAAATACGAGGCGAAACGCTACGGGTGGTTCCCAGACAGCTGCTCTCCCAGAAGCTTTGGTGCTGTTCCAGGTTTATGATGCTTTGCAGGGTGAATAGGAGTGTGTGCACGGCACAAACTGCAAGAGTGGCGATTTTCTTCAGGCCATACGTGAACGCTCATCCTAGCACCCATTCGTGCTGTCAGAAAAAGTTGCAGCTAAAAACCACACAGTTCAGTGATATGAAAGAGTTATTTATTAAACCACCTAATTACAAAAAGGAAAAAAAATAATGGAATGGAAGGAAAGTAGAACAGAAAGTACACCAAACTCACATTCTCACAAACAAGACATTACGGCAGAATGCTGGGGAAGCTCTACTGAACTGTCTGTTGGTAATACAGCTGCCACAGCCACATTTCAGCCCAACTCTATCCCCTACAATGCACTCTTAGGGTCAACTCAGAACAACTGCAGAGATAAAGGGCAGAAAAACCACGCTGCCCAACAGCTGCAGACAAAGCACCAAGATTATCTGGAAGGAAACTGAGCAACCCCCTCTGTTCCACCCACCTAAGTTGTCCAAAATTTCATTAGATGAAGCTGTTCAAGAATATAAACATTAGTTCAAGCTATGTTAATAGAAAGCTTTGTGTAACCATTGGAATCAGCCTAACCAAAGTGTGCTCATGCTTCTATCCGTAGCCTTAAGCAAGTCACATTATTAACACCTCAGTCTGATTCTGTTTGCCTTCTGCTTCCCAAAAGGAATAACACTGCTTTTCAATACAGGCCTCCTGGAGAGCCTCCTCTTAAACGATTCACAGCAAAAAGTTCAAGTTTGTGAAGCACTTTGACAGTGAACAATACTGAGTGAAAAATACTGCAGGATTCCTACTTAAGTGTTACAGGTTGTCTGATGGCATCCTGAGAAAGCTTTAAAGCAGCCAGAACGTCACTAAACATAAGAAATTGAGTAAAGAGGCCCAGAACAGTTACTATCCCCAGATTTGGCTCAAGTTTTCTAAACCAACCAACCAAATTCAACTACCAGCACTCCACAATGTACTTATTGTGAAATTCAAATGGAAACAAACACTAGTTTTCTACTCAACTCCACATGTAACTGTCATGGAAAACCAAACTTACCTCTAAGTTGTTAGAATAATCAGCTTTGTATTCACTTATCACTTTAAGTGAGAGGAACACTCATGGCAATGTCCCAGGCATGGAGAAAGCACTGTGGCTATCCAGTGAGCAGAAACCTGCAAATACCGCTCCAGTGCATTGTCCCGATGGGGAGATGCTTGCTCAGTACAGCAGGTGGAAGACTTCTTCAGTGCCACCAGGAGGAATGTGTCCAGCAGCAAAGAATCCTCTTCAGGAGTGGTCTGTCGGGCCTGCCCCATGCCCATTCACGTGGGGGTGTGATGGGGTTGAGCTCTGAGAGGTAGCAACACTCTGCTCTGCTGTGGCAGTTGTCAGAGGCATGGAGAGGCTTTCAGGAGACAGCGTGTCAAAGTCTTCCCTCCAGTAGGCTTCGCACAGTGGTAGATCATTGCTGTCACATAGACTGTAGCTTTCCAGAACAAAAAAAACAGTAAGGAGAGGCAGCAAGTACAATGATAAAGGAGAGGAAGGAAAGAGGAGAGGGAGAAAAGCAAGACAGAAGCAAAGCATTAAGAAAATGGCAAAAAAAATTCATGGATATAAGGCCTGCGTTCACATCCCGTCTTGTGACACTGTTTTTTCCCAAAATACCCTATAAAGGCTGGTGTTGAATCTTAAAGGCTTAGTAAGGATCAGGGAAATTTCAAAGACAAAGCTGCTGCTACAAACTGAAAGAGTCTCAGCTCTAATCCAGACACTACCAGTCCATAGATAGATCTGGGCTGAGGTTCTGGCACCCCAAAGACAGGAGTTCTACTAGTCTGAGTGAGGCACAGATCATTTCACAAGGAGTCACATAACAGCCTATGTGAGGGAAAAACAAATACAAATCGTGCTCTAAATTTAAGTCTATTTACACCCTTACCACCTCACTAAAGTGTCCCACAGAAGGCCCTGGTCTTCTTTTGAAAACCCCCAGCCTCTGAAGCACTGACAGCTTCTACAGGTTTCAGCAGTACCACAGTCCTCACAAAAGCAGCTTACTGGATTGGACTCCAGACTACAGTATGAGATGATACAGCAGTGTGGGAAAGTAAACAGCTGTCTAAGTCTTGACTGTGGTCTGAGGAAAACACAATGTGGAAGGGCAAAAACTAAAAAGGAAAGCATTGGAAGAAACTGGAACAAAAACAGAACAAACTCCAAAGAGAGGAAGGAGCTGCACACACGAGAGAGACCCCCAAGACAAAGTGAGTGCTGGAGCAAAAAGCAGCTTGTGATTGGAGTAAAACAAACCCAGCGGGTCAAATGATTTTGTTGTTGCAACTTTATTTACATTTTTTTTTACGTATGGACTTGAATAGTTGCATTGCAAAGTACTTTAAGTGCAGAAATACGAGACACTTCAAATTGCACAAACATGAAATGCTGAGATTTAAGTCCACACTCAAAGACAGCTCCTGTGATCTCAGAGGAGGGAGCAACGGAACATAAATACAAGTTTGGGCTTTAGAATGAGGAAAGGCAAGCTGGACTTAGGGGGTTACTGCTTTGCAGAATAAACACACAAAGCACCAGTTGCAAGCACCAAATATCTGTAGTATTTTCTGACAGCATCACCCAGTTGGCTTCGTACCAGAAGTGGTAAGGCACTACCACTCAACCTTCTGCTCTGTCCTTTGAGTGAAGGTTTCTTAGGGTGCAGAAGGGACTTCCCTACTCCCCTCAGGGAGCACAGCAATATCTGTGCACAAAGAAGCAGCTCTAGGAAAATACTCAAACAGAAATTGAAAGTGAAGATTCCCACTCAGCTTTAGTTTCATGGACCAATGGTGGTGGCAATTGCTGCACAAGACATTCCCTTTTACAGTCCTTCTACAGCTCTTAGGAACAACACACAGGAAGAAAGGAAGCGTGGGGCAGCCTACAGCTCTGCAGCACCTGCAGGTATGCTGCTCCAGGGAGCCCACTTTTCTACAGCCTTCCCTGGAGGGACAACCTGACAACCTCAAATAAACTCACCAGCGACCTTTGGGGAATCTGGGGCATCAGAGAACAGTTTGGCAGGATGGCTGTATGGAACCAACATCGTGGCCTCACAGGACTCTTTATAAATCCTGTGGGATTAAGCTTACAGGGAAGCAGTAGGGTACAGAGAGGAAACCCAACCAGGCTCTCAGGTCAGCACAGAATGCCCACTTGTGGGCAAATCAGCTTTTGCATTCATCACCAGTTAACCACGATCAACACTCTAAGGCTATGTGACATAACAGAAACCCTTTCCCCACATTAGGCAATAAAATTTTGTTTAAAATATCGTAATATTCTAATTATAAAAGGACTCTCAATAAATCACCATTTCTGTATTTACACACATAAATTCTTTGGTGCAGAAAAAGACAGGAAATAGCACAGGAAAATAGTTAAGTGCTATAAGCAATGGTTAAGTGCTACATGGTGTGAGGTTTCAATAGAAGGATCATAGCTCTGTAGACAAGCCAAGTCCCCTCATCTCACGATCACCCTCACAAGAATGAAAACAAAGGCAGATCCACTTTAGCGTGTCAGGAAAGAAAGCTGTTTGTGCTTAACATCAGTTCTGCTGTGAAGGATTGCTTCAGGTGGATGCAGCGCCAGTCAGGTGAAGAGACCATGCCAGCGTGGTCTGAACTCAGCTCAGAACAGAAAACTACTGAGACATGGCCATGGCAGCCTCAGTGTGAGAGCAGCACCTCTGCACTCGTGAGGCAACTTCACTCCACACTGCCATTCTGGATGCAGCTTCTGGCACGCTGCAGTCTGTGCAGTGGATACATCCCTGACCTGCTAAGGCCAGGAGTGGTGCTTAAGTTTGTGATCATCACTCTTCTCTGAGGCACTTCTAGGATCCCTTGCCACAGCTCCCTAAAAAAACTAAATAAAGCTGGAAAGACAACTCTAAACTTCTGTATTTTCTTAAAACAACATAGCTGGTTCTAAGCTATGTCAGATCAGTACCTTAAGTCTTTAAGAACTCTTTAAAAGACTACTCTTAAAATACATTACCCATAAACAATGGCCTAACTGCCAAGTATAGTGTGCAATTATTGTTTTAATTGACTTATCTGGAGCTACAGACACTCAGAATGTTTAAAAAGAGAGGAGAGACAAAAGTGGAAAACCTGGTCACAAGAATTTTTAGTAAGATTTTGAAAAGATGAGTTTTTGTTTAGAATTCACTCCTTTATTGCACTGGCTTCACTTAGTTTGGACAGTGCAACCAATATAATCTGAGTCTCAGTTATTTTATCCTGCTTTCATTTACTGCATAATCAATTAGAAGTGCTGGAGTGCATGACAAAAAAAAAAAAAATTAAAAAAATAAAGTGTCTGAATTATCTAAAGCCTGTTTCCTATGCAAAAGTCTTTTTAAAATCTTAAAAATTCCTCAAGCAAATCGCTAATAAATCTTTCATAAAAAATCCTATCACAATACTTCATAATTAAATGAAACTGAGCATGTCATTTCTGCTCATTTCAGATGTTCACCTCAAAAAGACACCAGGCAACTGGGGCAGTGGACTACAAGGTAAAAGGCACACTGTGTGAGCAGGTCACTTGTGAAAGAGCTTGCAACAAGGACATGGAACATCAGCATCTCATTTAAGATCAGCACCCAGCTCAGCAAGCT